CTGTGTCCTCATGATTATTTATGAACAACTCCTCATTTCTCCCAAGTCTTAGCCTTTTGCAACTTGTACCCTTCTATCTGCCTCTCTACCTTTGGGTATATTGGATCCTTCATGCAATTGGAGTTGTCTCTAGCATCTGTCCTTCTGTAACTGGGTAATTTCATTTAACAACATGTTCTACAGATTCATCTATATTATCACATACTGAAAGATTCATATTGAAGACTGATGTTTCATTGTATCATAATCCACATTTTATTTACCCATTATTCTATCAAAAATATTTGAGCTTTTATCACATCTCAGTTATGTTGAATTTTGGTACAATAAATATGAATACTCAAATATATTTTTAAGACTCTAGTAGTAATTCTTTTAGCTAAAACACAGCAGTTGGGTTGCTGGGCCATTCAGTCAATTAATACATGAGCTCACTGGGTATCCACACTGTCCCTAACAATTAGAGGACCATCTACCTCCAGACATTTCATTAAGCTCTCAGATGCTTTAGGGATAAACAACCAATTGCTTGGCATCTCCTCAGGGATAGTCTCAAAAAGTTAAAAAGAATCCACAAATTTTCTTCAAAAATCATTGTTAAGAAACACATGGGAAAACCAGGAGAGAGTTTTAATTACAGGTGACAGAAGCTTGCAGGTATTGCTATATATTACCAACATGGACACAAATGGTCAGTTTGATAAGCCTTTTCCATCTAAGGTAGGTGACCATGTGTGACTCAGTTTGTGTGCTTTTTCTTGCCCCGTAAGGTCCTGAGAAGCAGTAGGAACTCTCAGTTCTTGAATATTTTCAAATACTTTGAGAGTATAAGTACAGGAAAATCACGTATGCTTGCATATAAAACATTTAATTTTCTGCATTATGAGTATGTACATAGAGGTATATATATTTGTTTAATGTCCTGTCTACATGAGACCAAAAGTGATATGAGATGAAGCATAAATAAAAGGCCATAGAGATTTCCTGAAAGGCAGAATTTGAAACTCCAGGGATTCAATATCACATTCTGACATCCTTCCAACATTAATTTATTCCAAGTGAGTTTTGGGGGGGTCTTATAGAAATAAATAAAATGTAATGATTAGGTAAGTAGCTATATAAACATGACAGTTTGAATCTTGGAAGGTGGAGTTTCTCCTTCACATTAAGAAGTGAAAAACATTAGTTGAGGATTAAGAGTTTCCAGGGACCCAAATTTATTGCAATGGTAAAACATTTCCCATTTTGCAAAGGGGCTGAATAAATTTAATATTTAAAAAATAAAATTCAAATATTCAAAAATGGTAATTAATTATGAAAAAGCAATTTCCCTATTCCACTGCTCTCCAAGGGAGGTGAGAGGAAATATTTTTCAATTTTCCTTACAGAAAAATAGGCAATTAAATTTTCATTGCTTTACCCTTTTTAACTTGCACGATTCCAAATTAAGCCAAACAAAAACAGCAAAAGAAAATTTATCTCTGAGTGGATTTATTAAAAGCAGTCTTCTAGTGTTGTGATCGCTAAATATTTTCCTAAGTCTAAATTATGAATGGTAGGTGACAAGGGGAAGGTACGACACCAGGTAGCTCCAGCAGGACCAGCAATATTCTATGTAAGACAACAAATCTTACAACAACTAAGTGATATTTACTCGGATTTATATTTAATTTTGTGAAACTTTGTAATTTCACTTCTTTATACCTAACAGAATATTGCTACTACAATTGTAATTATAAAGTGTGCCATTTCTATTTCTTTTCTTTATTTTTATTTTGAGAAACATTGGTAAAATTTTTTATAGCAGTAATTACCTTACCTTAAATGCCATAATTTGTTTGTATGTTACTCTTTGAAATCTCTGGGCCTTTGAAGATATCTGGATATATTTCATTTTATTACACTTGTATTTCTATGCATGATGTCCTATCATATTTATTTCTTATGCCTGTGATGTACAGAAAGATTCCATATCACATCCAGAAATCCACATATATCTCTGAATTAGTGTATGTAGTGAATCTGTATAGTATTATGTGTCATAGTAAAAGTTTTGTGTACAGTCTTTTATACATACATGTATGATACATGTTAAAAATTTCATTTGTAACTCCTATGAGTATATGTATTTTAAAGGACTAGGTTTTGAAATAGCTTCAACAATCTAAGCAACAATGTATTCATTTTGGAATTTATCATTAGAAAATCTAGATATGTCATGGGCAAATGTATCATGTCATTTCATGAACTATAATGAATAAGTACCACAGTGTGATTCTAAGTA